CCCAACCCCAACCCCAACCCCAACCCCAACCCCAACCCCAACCCCAACCCCAACCCCAACCCCAACCCCAACCCCAACCCCAACCCCAACCCCAACCCCAACCCCAACCCCAACCCCAACCCCAACCCCAACCCCAACCCCAACCCCAACCCCAACCCCAACCCCAACCCCAACCCCAACCCCAACCCCAACCCCAACCCCAACCCCACAACCCCAACCCCAACCCCAACCCCAACCCCAACCCCAACCCCAACCCCAACCCCAACCCCAACCCCAACCCCAACCCCAACCCCAACCCCAACCCCAACCCCAACCCCAACCCCAACCCCAACCCCAACCCCAACCCCAACCCCAACCCCAACCCCAACCCCAACCCCAACCCCAACCCCAACCCCAATTTGATTAATAGGTTGATTGATTGATAAAAAATAATTATTAATTTCGTTTGTGTTTGTGGTGGTATTTCAAAACAAATAAATATATAATACAATTCAATATATTAAATACCCTTAATTTAGCATATGTAATTTTTATTTTTATAGAGCATAAGAATAAATGGATCACTAAAAAATTAGTTAAAAAAGTAACATTTAGTTTTGTATTGAGCATGCTTATTATAAGGAGGTTAATAATCTTGATATATAATATAAAATTTTATTTTATACAATCAAATGAAATTATTTTGTATAAAAATGAAATAATAATTAGAATGGTAGATAATAAAAATATATACAATGGTTCTAAACTCCTCGAGGAGCGAATCAACAGATAAATATCTATCTAAATGTAGAAAAATACTTATTTAATCATAAAAAGTAGTTTGATTTCATAAAGAAAAATGGAAGAACCATTAGAAACATTGAATAAGCTAAGGTAAATTTAAAAGAAATTGTTAAAAGTATAAAGTAGGTAATGCTTATTCTACTATAAAACTGTAATTAATATAATTTCTTTTATGAATAACTTATTAAATTTTATTTAAGGATAAGGAAAATTAGATTCAGAGATATACTGCTAACTATTTGCTTAAGATTAAATCTATTTATTAATAAGCCAATATATTTATTATACATAGTATAAACAAGCTGTGATTTTTAAAAATTATTTTTAAAAATTAAAATTTATATTGTTATTTTTCTAATATTTATTCAATGAGTCTATCTTAAGCAACTAAATAAGTAAATCTTTAAATTAAAAGAAAAAATTTGGATTTAAATTATAAATTTT